CCCCAAAACCCCAAAACCCCAAAACCCCAAAACCCCGTAATGAAATTTTAATATTGAATTTTAACTCTTTTACTCACTAAGATGCATAGACTCTTCTTCATCTAACTGACCTTTGGGTATTCTAGATTTAATGAAGAATAAGGCTTACTTTAAAGTATGTCAATGAACATAAGAATCATCCTTCTCCCTCCTCTCTTCTGTAGGTACAAATTGTGATTTCTTGATTAGCTCAGGGTCTATAAATTGTTTAAATCAAATGAAATACAGCAATTAATAGTCTTACCATTCTCAGGATGCTCAACAAAAGTTTGAGCTTTCATACCAAACCTATTATCCAAAGTATACTCGCTTTCTGGAAATCGCTTAGACTTCTGATACCCCTCTATTCCTTCCTTACCACAATCATTAGGGTCAAGAGTCTGACCTCTTTGCGAAATAGTAAACCTTCTAACACTCTCACTCCTATTATCTTCTCCTCTATAGCTATATTTCCAACTTAAGGACAAATCTTATCCCTCAGCCCCCAAAATCAGCCAAAAAAATCCCTCCTATACCCAAAATTTACTCTTCAAAATTCATAAAGTCAAAATTAAATCCAATTTCCCACAGAAGAGGATGGATTTGTTATTAAGGAATTTATCCAAAATTTCCGTTGAAAATTTTGGAGAAGAATTCCTTAAGAAGGCAGCCAAACTGACAAGTGTGAGTTGGATATTTTGGTCGGGAAATTTAAATCTGAAGGGAAAAAGGAAGGTGAAATAGAGGTTTGGGGGATTTTGGAGGAAAAACTGTGAAAATGAAGGAAAATTTTTGGTTTGGGTAGGAAGAGGTTTGGGTGAATGGGGAGTTGGGTTATGAGGGAGTTTATGGGTATTTTGGGGGAATAGAGGGGATTTGGAGGAGATAGGGGGAAATGGGAGGGATTCGGTAGCTTTTGGGGGAGAAAACTATTGTTAATGCTCTATTTAAGTTTTGGGCATACCTTTCTGTATGATCTACTCTCTGGCTTGATAAGAATAGACCTCTATCTGAGATATTTCTTGTGATGATCTTTCCATCATCAGTTCCTTCTGCATTGTCATCGGCAGAAGACACCATTCTTGCTCGAGCTCGGAAAGCTGGGTTTTCAGGAATCTTCCTCATTTCAGGCGACATTTTGAATTGTGATCCAGATGTTTGAGACTTTGCAATACTTCTATGTGAAGAATCCAACTGTTCCTTTTGAGATTTGGAAGAAGCAGAACCCAATTTGGGAGTCTTGGGGTCAGATTCGATAAGAAGAAGACATTTATGAAGATCAGCTTCATCAGTGACTGCAACCGAAATAACTCTGAATTTATTATCATTGACATTGGTGTCTAATTTGAAGATACCTATTAAAACAAAATTAACCACAATCTAGTCCCTCCAAAACCTTAAAAATCACTATTCAGACCTAATTTCTGTGCTAAAACGCCTATCTTCCCCCAATATCTTACACAAGATCTCTTCTCTTCAAAAATGTCACTTGTTGTCTAAATGGTCACCCCTTGTCTTACCGTTGGCTGAGCCCATGAGCATCTGGCAGCATCAGTCGTATCAGATGCCTCCATGGCCGCATTCCATTATGACTGAATCTGGTGTTTTCTCGTAACAGATTAGGCACTTTTTGTCAAAACTTGTATTGTCTATTTTGCTATTTTGCTTGCTCAGATAAGGCTCTGATGCCTTCTCTTCCTCACTGCGGTAAGCTAAGTCATTGTTAGGGGATTAAAAGGAGTGCAAAAGAGGGATTTAAGAGAATTTTAGAGGGTTTAGAAGGGGCTAGGCTGGATTTAGGAGAGAACTGTTTTTGAAAACTTCAAAAAACTTGTTTTTGAAGTGTTTTGAGCTAGTTTTAGATTAGAGAATTCTAAGCTAACTGGTGTAGGTGAGACCAAAGTTTTAGTTCAGTATATAAGTATTTCAGAGAATCAGTTTGATAGAGGTTGGATCCTTATTTTTCATCGAATTTCAAAATTTTAAAAAATTATTTCAAAAATCTTGGGAGAATAACAAATACAAAATTGACCAAGTCCTTACCAGAATCGTATATGCTAATAAAATTTTGCCTTAAATTTGAAAAACTTGTTTCTGAATTCTTCCTATCATTTTGAAGAGATTTCAGATAACGAGGAGGAGAAGGAGACTTCGCCTCTTGAGAAGAGTCTTCTTTATAGCCAAACGTGTTATCAAGAATCTCTTTGTTCCGATTTTTCATCCGCTTCATTATTTCATCCATTTTGAGCTTTCTATAAAATTCTTTTCTTGAGGAAGAGAGTTTTGAAAGATCTTCAGATGTTTTGAGGTCTATAAATTATACTTGAGTATTTGTTAAGATGAACGCATAAAGATAAGAAAGAATGAAGCTAATAGTGAACGACAGCTCTCTCACAAGTATTTGTAAAGCCATAAGCACTTAAAAAATGTAATTGTAACACTCTACCTTTTTCATCCTTTGCTTCTTCAAGATCTGTGATTTCTCTTTTGTTGATTTGAGTCGACATTTTCTTAACCTTCGAATTTTTTACCAAATTCATAAAATCTTTAGACTCTCCCACACTTGCTGCTTTTGATACTACTCTTTGGAGTCTCTTGCTCTTATCTTTACTGCAAAGCAAAGTTTTATCCTTGTTAGTCCTTTGAAATTTTGGGTTAATCCTGTTCTTGGCACTCTTCCTAGCAGAGTAAGCAAATCTCCTTTGATTGATACTCTCTGTTTTGGTTGGGACCTGGTCAATAGCTGACTTTCTACGAGTCCTCTTGAATAGAGTGTCAGAAATCCTAGTTAAGAAGAGTAAACCAGTGATGTCATAACTTCGAATCTCAACTGGACGCTCTTGGTCAACATTATTAGCCTCATTCTCCTGATTTGCAATATTTGGATCCTGCCCATAAATGAAATAATCCCACCAAGAAATTAAGTGCTTCCAAAATACCAGAGTAAGAAGAATTGACAGAAGAAGATACAGAAGAGGAGGCATGAACAAATGCAAAAAGATGTTAAAACTTGTGTTTGAGATTGATTTATTATCATATATTTTATTCAACCCCATAACTACGACTCAAGTCGATCCAGGCAAGCCTGCAATGAAGAAAAGAATCCAGAATGCTCCTATTATTGCAGGGTAATCTACCTCATCTTGGAAATATGTGAAAATTGCATTTAGAAATATGATAATTGCAAAGAGAGCTAAAATGCAGAGAATTGCAAATGAGACCCAATATGCCCATAAGATTCCGCTCCACTGCCACTTGATAATATCATCCTCCTTCATTAAGACAAAGATTGCGATCAAGAACCTGGTGCTTGACATGAAAACATTACATAGATGCATAACTGTTTCTCAGGGGCTTCTAGGTCATGCTTGACAGAGAAGTCTCATAGTGATGGTTGCTAATAATGGAAAGCAAATAATATAAAAAGGTATCCTAGGAATCTCAGATGTATGCATTAGTAGTAAAACTCATGTAAAAATGAGTAATAGTTCCTCAATAATACATCTAATGACCATCCTTTTCCGTCTGAGACTGAGAATTTCTAAAGCAAAGGGGTTGCCTTGTTGATCATACTGCAGTTCAAGGGTCTGAGAGAAATTACTATTTGGATCCTCTGAGCTTCGATAGAATTGAACATTACGAAACACTCAGTAGCAATAATAGAAAATCAAGATAAAGAGAGGATACTGGAACTTCCACATTTTTGTGATTAATCATTGAACTCATAATGCTGAGAGGAAAATCAGCAAGAGTGAGTAAATTTCAATTAGCCTCCTCATATTTGCAGATATGTCTATGAATTTATAAAAGAGATTTACTTTTGAACCTGGCTCTATATAGTGGGGATGGATCTATCAAAATTCTTTGAAAATCAAATCTGAAATGAGGAATCGGCACTTCTGCTTGTTCTGTGGCTTCATCCTCATTACTAAAATTATCTAAACAGCAAGTTATGACTGCATTGTTTCATCATTTTGGATCGAATATGAAGGATTAAATAAAAAGGCTTTAACCATGAAATTGTGTGTAAAAACATCAGAACATAGTATACCTGGGTTAAAATCTGCAGGGAGTCCTTCTGCCGCTCTGTCTTCAGTTTCCATAATGTCCATCTAAATGTTCAAGCAAATACCTACCTGGGTATGTTGCACTTGCGATTCATTTATGTCTCTTGGGCCTTCCTCTAGCTCATCTTGTGGAGGTTCTTCAATTCTATCATCATATTGGCTAGGCCAATTCTCTCTACAAGAGTCAGAGTCTCATTTAGATCTATTTCTTACCTATTTTGTTCGTGAGTCTCCTCTACAATTGTTCAAGCTCGAACGTACCTCTATTCTCAGGATCAACAATTTGTGTTTCCATTTATAATTTTACAAGTTTTTAAATTTTTTTTAAAGGGTATGGGGTTTTGGGGTTTTGGGGTTTTGGGGTTTTGGGG